TGACTTTACGTTTTATTTTTGACAGCTGGAGCCTGCGTTTCCAAGATCGTGAATGGGAAACTCGTTCAAGTTGGAGATTGCGAGGTAAAATTACAGTTGCTATTTTTTTAATCGGGCATTTTCACACTTCGACTCCAAACAAGGTTTGAGCAAGCAGGCAACGATCTCTCTAATTAGCGGCATCTAGAACACAAAAAGAAAACATAAACTGTTAAACTATTTCATTCGAATACGGCGGGCCATTCTAAATTGTTACGTGGGTAGTAATTAGACCGCCAGCCGCGATTTGGGAACCACTGTTTAAGAAACGCTAATTTTTCAACTGACTGGAAGCTTTTATTTTCTGAATCGCGTAAACAATTTTAAATCCGACTTCTGTCACGCATGTCACACAACTAATAAAATCTGATACAACTTACGTGTTATAATTACTTTACTAATCATCTGCTTTTTTTATTTATTTCACAGAAAAACGATGGATCCGGTGAGTTCTTCCTACTCTATGATGTGTTTTGGGTTCACAAATAATTACCCTGCACTAAACATATGACTTTGATTCATATTTACGCACGGGTTCAAAATAACCTGTCCAATAGTAACAGTTTTCAATTAAGACTTTCAATTCCGAATTAGGCTCTTATTTGGTGAAACGGCGCTTTCTAGAATTTTTCTGGCATTGCATTTCAATTGCCTGTTATTTTCAATCTTGTAAAAAGTTTGGCAAAACTCATTCACAACGATTTTCTATATGCTGTTGTCATATTATGGTTAGTTAAAGTTATTTAATATCATACGAGAAAAAATAACAAGGCAAGACTGATTTAAAAACGCCTTGCTTTACTCACAAATAAATCAATTTTCTTACAGATATCGTCAGACTGATTAAGAAGAGTCGTGATGAGAAGATAAAGGCTGAAAGTAATTTATATTTGTGTTTTATGATTTGATAATTTGACTATAGAATATGCCACAACCGCCCAAGTGCTAGGAATGGATGTCGCGTGGGTTTACAAATAGATTTAATTTACCTAATATTACAAGTATTGGACTCCGGGTCGTCGCTGCGTGATTAACCCCACCACTAGTCGGTTACGACTCCGTCCACCGCCATACATCTGAACAATCTGTTCCGCCGTTCTTGGTTTGTCTTATCGGCTTTTCTCTCCCTAGAATTGATTCAGGATGAAGTTGAATTGAACTAAAAAACCGACCTTTGTTCCCAGATTCTATGACGTTGCAATCTGCAAATCAAAGAACGGAAAACCCGCGAATATTTACGACCTCAAGCATTACCAGCTGCTGCTCCCTTATCTACGTTCACTGATGCCTGCTGGTTGGACATGGATTGACATCTGGACTGGGATAGAGTATAAGGTCAGTTGATGGATCACAATCTCAGTAGAGTTTGACTCTTTCTTGTAATCTTCATATTGGGTACAATTTATCAAAAGCGGTTTATTATTAAAAGTATCAAATGATGGGCAGGTAAACGATGCCTTATTGTTAATTTGAGCGATTGATAAAAATTACAAATATTAAACATGATTTCCAAGATATTATGACGTCATATCCGAGTCGTCCGATCGCGTTTTTTTTAATTTCCAAATATTTTAGCATTTTTAATTCATTAATTTTTGCTTTTTACCCATTTTTATGTAACGTTACCCCCTATTACCTTTACTACGGAGCCTATTCCTACACGCAAATATTTTCATTCTTCATCTAATATGTCAGTTGCATTAACAGTTCAAGCAACAGATATTTAAACTGTTCATTCAATTGTGACAGAACAATCAGCTTTTGCTGTCCAATGGAAGACCAATCACTATAGCAACAGAAGTGTGGTATCCTACTTATCCGGGATCCGATGCATTGTGGACAAATGTTGGTGTTAGTGTCAATAAAGATCCAGAGTATGCAAATCAGGGAATGTTCAATCATCCACCATCCCCCTCAACCAACGGTGTCATCTGTGAAATATAAAACCAGATCAAAACCTGACAAAACTTCGTTGACGGATTCAATGATAAAAAAGACAAAAACAGTTAAATGACTGTTGTTATCTATATAGATTTTCATTAAAATTTTTGTTCGCTTTTCTATGGCCGTTGTTCTAAATGTTCTAATTATGATAGGTCCATGTCTGATTATGCAAAATTTATAAGCTGCCCATGAACGATCTGATCTTAAATTACTCTTCAATTTTACTAAATCGCATTTTTTTACAAAGTCTGTTTTTCAAGCCTTAAAACCCGATTTTATTTATGAAAGAAGTCTAAATTACGTGTTTATAAAAGTTAAATTACTAATATTTTTACTTATGCATTTTTATTCCACACTGAAGCTGGCCTGTGAATATGATTAGACAAAGGCCACACAAGTATGTTCGTCCTAATATAAATGAAACTTGATTTTTACTTAGGATTACTCACTTTCAGTGGCAGAATTCAAAAATCTAAGAACGGGTTCTCTATTGCATCGAACTCGCTAACAACGGGTTCTCTCATTTTAGAGAAACATACTGAACTAAATCATAAAAAATACAGGAACGGTTTGCAAGAACCCCTTGAATCCTGCCACTGCTCACTTATATATTGTTCCTATACTATTATTCTATCATTAACCGTACCTTGAATTGGTCGCCTTGTCTATTGAAACGTATTTGCCCAGTAAATAAATTCATAGCTGTCTCCATGTGATTTCTGTATATAACCAAACATGATAATAAACATTGATTCAATCATTTTTGGGTTTCTTCGTTCTTGTTCTGAAACAGTGAGTCAGTTATTGGAGAAGCGAATGAAACCAGATATCTGGGAAAAGCGTTGAATCTACCCTCGTTCACAGATTACACTCAGAACAATATATCGAAATTCTCTGCCCAAACCTAATATCTAATATGACCCAACACGGTACTGGTAACTGGACGAGAGTATCGATGAACTCCCTTTGCAAAATATAAAATATTTTAGGACTTATGGACACCCTATATCTTCGATAGCCTAACAAACACCGTTATAAGCGTTGTTATTACATCGTGTGAGGGAGGGGGCATGACCTAGGTTGCAGCGGTTTACTAAGGATGTTACATCATGCAGATGCATAGAAAATATTAATAATAGGGTTTTACGATGAGAAACCGTTTCGACAAATAATTCGTTATTGTTTGTAGTGAAACTGTGAGACAGTGATCGGCAAAATGCGTCCAGCAAAAAATTTTTTTGCGACTAATAAAAATGTTCATGAATTTATATATTTGTATGCCCAAGGATGTATGTCGTAACAATGGCTGTTGTAGTCTATTGTTTTGTAGTAAATAGTGTAAACGAAATCACATGCCAGTGGTTTGTAGAACGCGCCTATCGTTAGTTGTGAGTAACGCAGACATAGAAGAATATAAATGGAAACACTGAGGTAGGAAGTTTGCCCCGCGAAAACAACGGTTTTGAAATATTCGAAACCGTTTCTATGAGCAAAACACGAACTTGAAGTACAATATAAAGTCATACATACCACTTGCTGACTTTTAAAAAACTATTCACGGGTAGTTGATTCAAATTTGCGAAGGCAGCGTTCGACACTAAGTAATATCAATGTGCGCTGTCGTAACTGTAAGGTAATAATAGCTATAAATTGGAAAGTCGCTGAGACTAAGTTGGGGCGAGTTAGTTAGAGCATGCTTTAGTTACTTTGTATTTACAGGTTCATTCAAAATTCGAAAGCTTTTAATCATAATTTGTGAAATAAAACACGATCCAAAATGCACTCATTTTAATTACCGCATTTTCATTGTTTACAAATATATAACAATAAACGCATCACTTCGGGAGAAAAATACCCGCTTTCGAGACTGAGAAAGCCCCGAAACGGGTTGCTAAAGTTCTGAATCAGCTGTATTACGTCATATTAAAAAATTAATCCCCCCCCCCCCTCTCTCAAAAAAGCTTGGCGTGTAGTACTATTTCGACCAAAATTGAAATCCTGTTCTGATGTTTAGTTTAGCACAATCCAACGCATCCGTCGAACCTGTGATAGGACTATTAGCTATTACATGTTATTATTATGCTCTAGGTGCAAGAAATTTGTCGTTTCTCGACTTCAGGAAGTGATCGACCAATTGGAAATCATAAAGGGCGCGTTTATATTTCATAGCGATTGGAATATATATCTTCCTGAGTATTAATATATCTCTAGTAGTTGTAGGCACAAATATTTTGGATATTAATCTTGTGGCATTCGTTGTTTGCACAATCTAGCTGTTAAAAGCATTGTAACGTCATAGATAATAAATTGAATTCAGTTATAGACTTTGCAGCGCAAAGGGATTAGAATAGGGGTTCCCAAACTTTATCAGCCGCGGGCCAAAATTAGAATCGGAAGGGTGTTCGCGGGCCGGAAAAGTGTAGCGCCCGAAAGTACGCGACGGTTTAGCTGGGGTTCTGTTCTGGGGTTCTGGGGTTCTGAATTCGCTTTCATTTGAAAATTTTTAAAACATGTTTGTTCGACTTATAATGGCGCTTAATTAATGTCGTATTCCTTCAAAACTGGAATAGTGCGTTGGCAAAGAAGACTAATCGCTGGAGGGTGATTCTTTCCAATGTAGAAATACGAACACTGACATTTATCCAAGAAACGTCCGTTTTCAGCGTCTAGTTTTCGTTTGCTTTTTGATATCTCTGAGCCTACAATTAAGCTCGGCGGGCCATTTCAAATCGTTATGTGGGCCGGATTTGGCCCGCGGTTTGGGAACTCCTGGATTAGAATTACTCGAACGTACCAAATTAAATTAAAAACTCGTATCGCGGGCCGCACGTCATTCCAAATTGGCACTTCTCCGCGGGCCGAAATATTTTTTCTTGAGGGCCACATTTGTCCCGCAGGCCGTAGGGGTTATGATAACAAATAAAACTTCAATCATTTGCACTGGGGTTACTCGAGCGTCTGGGATGTTTCATTGGGTTCCGCTGCACTGAAAATTTCTTTATACCGAAGGCAGTCCAAAACATTGACAATATGGTACTGAAATTTGTTTTCTAGTAATTAGCGTAAGCGAACGCTTGTTCTTTCCACAATGTGCCTTAGTTGTAATTAACGCAGACATACATGTCGCGGTAGCGCCATATCTTGATGTTTAGTAGAGCGATTGTTTATAGGCGACCTCGTCAGTCTAAGCAAAAAATGGAAAGAACTAAGATAATTAGAAACCTTCGGTGCATGTAGTGGGAAGTCCGACCCGGGTTTTGAGGTTTTTGTTTTGAAATTCGAAGCTTGTTTCTATGAGTGCAGCACGAATTTAAAGTCACACATAGCAATTGCTGACGAATAGTTTTTGTTCTATTTACGGGTAATTGATTCAAACTTTTGAAAACAGCATTCGGCAATGAGTAATAATGTGTGTTGTCGTAAATGGAAGGCGGTTGTTTTAGATAAAAATAATATCAGATTGGACTGGTGCTGAGACTTTGCAAGTTGAGTCTGGTTTAGACAGGAAGAACATACTCTATTTACGTTGTATTTATCTGTTCATTCAAAATTTACGAAAGCATTTTAAATACAATTTGAACAGTAAAATACAATCTAAAATACACTCAGTTTAAATTATTAATGCATGTACCGCCATTTTTAATATATTATAAGAAACTAAACGCATCACTTTAAAAGAGAATGAAAACCGCGTTTGAGATTGAGAAAGCTCCAAACTCGAGTTTCTAAATAAAAGTCTCGAGTCTGGAATCGGAGACTATAATTTTAGGCAAAGTTAAAAGCGCGAGTAAGCGTCGTATTACGTCATAATTCCCCTCAACAAATAAATACGACTGGATAGACTACAGCTTTTGGCATGGAGTACGATTCCGGCCAAAGATGAAATCCTGTTCTGATGTCTTGTTTAGCACAACCCAACGCATCCGTCGAACCTGTGATAGGACTATTAGCTATTACATGTTATTATTATGCTTTAGGCCAGGGGCACGGCACGAAAGTTGAAGACTTTAAAATTTAAAAAACGCCGCACTTCTCGGCTTCAGGAAGTGATCGACCAATCTCGGAATATCTAACAAATGCTGTTATGAGTGTTGTTATTACGTCGTGTGGGGGAGGGGTCATGACATAGGTTGCCGCGGTTCACTAAGGATGTTACGTCATGCAGGTGTATAGCACAGAAAATATTGATAATAGGGTTATAAAAAGAGAAACCGTTTCGATAAATACCGTAATTCGTTTTGAGTGAACCTGTAAGGCAGTGGTTTTCAACCAGGATTCCGCGGCATCTGAAGTTCCGTCAACTCAGACCAGGAGTTCGTAAGTTTACATTCAAATTCGAGAGTCAATGTTATTCGACGAATATTGTGCGTTCGCAAACTTCACAAATGTGTCATTGAGAATTCCTGCAATAGAAGATGAACTAGTTTTTAATCTTGTAGTATCATCACGCCTAAAGTGTAGGTTAGAAGCTCATGGTTCGACTCCAGGTTAGTCTGCCAAAAGCGACAAAGGAGCATAACATTAATGAACACCAAAGATTAAGATGTCAAAGCATAATTTTATTATAAATTACTTTATACAATTCTATGTTTAAAAATAAAATAATAATGATTTTTCTCAAAATTTACTTGAAAAGTTTGTAAGTCTGGTTAGGCCGAGAACAAAATGAACAAGTCTAGAAAGACAGAAACATCCAACGCGTGACGTCAAACCCACACCCTCCTTCCAAAATAATAAAATATTTTCAACAAAACCTATTTTCAAAAATAAGACGTGGTCGATGGCGCGAATTTTTTTCAAACCTGGTTTATAGCAAAATATCCTTCCTATATAGACGTTTTAAATGATTATTGATCTATGTTTTGCAATTATTTGAAATTAAAACGTTTTATTTATAAGTAAATGGATATCGGTTTTCATATTTTGTATATTTGAAAATCTCGGAATATGATACTTTGTTTTTGATAAATGAAAGTAGAAGACATCCCTCAAAAATAATCTATAGTGTTATTTTTCCGAAAAAAAATTTTGAAATAAAACCTGTCTCATTTTCGGGGAAACACGGTATGTTTTCCTGAAAAGCGATTTTGCGGCATTTACTGTTAAGCATAAACTTGTCTAGCTTGGAGTACTTCGACAGTGAGTAAGTCTGTGGAGAGAATATTCAAGATAAAAATCGGATATCGGTTGCCGCTCTATCTGACCTTGTTCAGGGCGAGAGGCGCGAGTGAGCATCTTATTATGTCATAATAAAAAAAATCATTATAGTGTGGGAGAGGCAGGCTTGAATGTCATTGGTTCAATTGGGAAGCATTGCATAGGTTGCTTCTTGTCGTTGGAAAGGCATGACCTATGCATAGCTATATTACGTGTGTTCATAAGGTGCACCGGATTATCAGGCACATTGTCAATATATTTCTTGGATTTTTTTCCATACGTATTTGGCACTGGACTATGAGACGCAACCGGCATTGGTGTTTGTTTTGATTGTAGGCAACGAAGCACTACGTGATCTAAACATAAATGCACGATCGATTCCTGAATAAAAAATATTTGAAGCCTCATGGTCCGTAAGATACGATAACTGTAATAACATCGCAGTTGATTAGTCTCAGGTTCAAATCCAATGCCCCCCACCCCACCAAGGGTGTAATAAATTGGGGAGAATCGGAAATATTCCTTGTTCTTCCAATAAATAACAGCTTCTCAAGTACCAGTGGTAGGACTGTGCATTTTAGCGCATCTGGTGATTTCAGAATTGAATAGAAAAGGTGCTATAGACCGCGATTATAAAACATTAAAAATGAGGACAAACTTGTTCAGCTTGATTAGTGTAGTCTGTGTAAGTCTGTCTAGGGAATGTTTGAGATAGAGTCAGATATCATTGGCTGCATGTATCTGGCCCCAAGGACATGCGTGTATTATATCTTATGGTGATCTCGGTACACGCAATTCGAAGATTTTGGTCTGACAACCGGAAATCATAAGGGCGCGTATATATTTCATAGCGCTAGCGTTTGGAATACATATCCTACTGTGGATAATGTTATTATATAGTGCGGGGGAGTGACCTCGGTTGCATCTTGTCATTGGTTAAATCGAGATAGCATGTGTATTTCATATGATGCACCTGTTAATAATTTTTTTTCATCCGTCAGGGGCACTGGGTTATAATACGCATCCGGTACCGATGCTTCTCTTGAGTGTAGAGTGCACGATAGATTTTGGGAATAGATTTGAGGTGCGCGCCTTGAGGTTCGTAAAATACGGTAAATATGATGACATCGCAGTTTACTCACCTAAGATTTGGTTTCCATGCTTACCACCTGTATTGATTTTGGTGTCGATGCTCAAACGGTTCTGTGTCTTCTCGTAAACAATAGATCTCCTTACATATAGATTAATATCGGTTCGCAACGAAAACACACGCTGACATTGTTGCAATTCGGGACTGGGTAGTTTGCTGCCAGAGTGTGTTGAGTGGGCATATCCCAATCTCGACTCCACTTCATTCATTTCTTTACTCAGTAACATATACAGAGTGGTCAAAAAACATAAATTACTTCTACGATAACGAAGGAAACTTTTTATAAAACTCGAAAAAAACAATAGTTTTGTTCATACTTGAACATGCGTTAACTTTGTGTATGGTTATACCCCGAAGTTTCAGAAATCTAGGACGGTTTGCACGAAAGTGGTGTTCAATGTAGAATATGTTTCAAATGTCCTGGTTTTGTAGACAGACTTGCATTCGTTCATATTTGTATTGAGCCATGAGAAATTTATGAGTCCTGTTTTGCGGGCCATCCTGTACGAGCTGAACAGTTAATAAATTTGATCCTTCTTGTTACTTTACAGACATTCTACACTTAAGCATTTAGCAGGCTAATTCATAAGTCAAATATGATTTTTGTTAAAGTATTCTGCCTTTTCTTTTTCATCGGCTTCATGTTCGGAAAAAAATTACCTGGTAAGAGTTGTGACAATTTTAATATAATAAGTGTTACTTAGGGCATCGTGGTCCTGGTTAGAGTCGCTAGTCGCATTTTCTTTATAACTCTTAGTGCTCGTAAAATATTTCAACCGACATCATGCAACTCGGCGACATGGCGCATTCTATTAATCTTTGCGTTATGAATACGCTTGCCATCGCACCTCTGATACTTCTTTTTGGTTCGCTTCCCATTTTCATCGAGAGGATTTCTGGACCCCGCCCCTTGTCGGTTTGGCTTCCTCCACCATCAAGTTCATGCATCTGAAACAGTAACTGGCCAACTAATCTATACCCGACATGGACTGGTAGCCGGAAGAGAGGCCGTGGTTTGCGATATTACTAAGGCGTCTTATCGGCTTTCCTCTCCCCGAGTGAAATACGAAAAAATCTTTTGCCCATTTCAACTCCGCTATCACATACAGCAATACCCGACTGCAACTATTAGGTTTACCCACACTTAGTATCATTTTATATTTTACAGATGGAGTCTGCGTCACTAAACTAGTGAAAGGGAAACTTGTCTCTGTAGGAGATTGCAAGGTAAAACTGAAATAATTACAAACTAAGTACTTTATTTATCATTCATGAAATGCTGTGATTGAAACAACCGTCTCGACTTTGAGAATAAAATTTCAAATCCTTTCCACCTTGTCTAATTAAATCCGATTTCCCCAAAGGTATCGCACCTTATCTATCGGTACCTCTATTAAAATTGCCTCCCCAAAAACATCACAAAAATTATCCTCAGTTGGGAAACGCAGGTTTGGAATCAGGAGTTGAATAAAAACCCTTTCCAACTTTACGGCCTGGCTTATTCTGTAGAACTAATTTTGAAAACTTATGTTTTGTTAACATTATTTAACTTTATTTGACAGAAAGGCGACGGATCTGGTAAGAAATTAAAAAAAAAGATTTTTTAAAGGGCAGGCCAGATAAGTGCGAGTCATGTTCCCTGCTAAATAAATATTTTAATTTGAAAAAAAAATCATTTATTGATTATGCTTTATGCATATTTGATTTTAACGAAAACAGTAAATCGGACGGTTTTATTTAAGAAATACTCTCGTCAATGTCTTTCTAACATAACACTTAATGATTTTTACATTATAACTTTGAAATTTTACTCAAAATATGGGCTTGTGTTGAAATTGATTTACGACTCCTACGCTTTGTAGAGTTATCTACGCCAAGTGCGTGTAATAAGAAATTAGCTGGTCCCCATACCCATACTGAACTAAAGACATCTAGCGACATCAACTTTTGGTTGACACTTTGATTGCTTGACATGCCCTCATTCGCATACCAAAGTGGCACTAATTGTGATTTACGCTTTTAATCTCATAAAGAGATTCGTAGAATTCAGTTTTAAGTCCCAACTGAGATCCCACAACCAATGGGATGAGTTCTATTACCAGAGTAGCAGCGAATTTTGTGTAATATAATGATTTGAATAAGTTCTTCATATATTGTGAAGTGAACATGAACTTCGACTGATAATAATGGTGTTTTAATTTGGGACTTGAATGCCTGCATCGTCGTTTAAACAAATTTCATCTTTTACAGAGATTGCCAACCTGATTAAAGAAAGTCTCGCAAAGAAGCAACAACGTAAGTTATTTCAATATTTTGCAAGGAATCGCATATTTCAGACTGCAACTCAACATGCCGGAACATGTCGTTTGGGAGGCCTAAGCACTCAAGTCTTTGGTTCCCTATTTATGTCGTTCAAAATATAAACAAACACAAATAGAAAATTTATACCAATCGGGCCAGTATCGCAGTCTGGGTCGTCTGACGAACTCAAATTATTTCATTAAACACTGAAGCACCATTAAAAAATTATCTATGAAAATTTCTGCGTTACCCCTTTTCTCTTTGTGTCCTAAGCACTTACTTATTTCGCTTAATGGTTAATGCAGCCCTGCCTTGTTTCATTAACTGAGATGGATACGAAGGTAGCCACCACATTTCAAAAAAACAGAATTTTTTCGTTTTAGCATTTCATTCCTTGTCGCTCAGTCGAGTTGAATGTAGAATGTGAAGCGCAATACTTTCAAGGCAGTGTTTCTCAATCCTTATTTTCAAGCGACCAAAATGTTTTTTAAATAAATTTTACAAAATCTCGCAACCCAAAGATATGCTCAAATACTATGCGATACGTATTGCTCATTGCTTGAATGGTCACAAAATCAACTGTCTGACTAATAATAGCAGATGCCAAGTATTTACGCTGTGATACTTCCCACATATACAATTATTACTGAGCAACAATGAATTTACTAGAAAATAAAATTAGTAACTTTTAGGTTTTTGTTGAAAAAAC